CATGATTCTATGTACAGGTGAGATCATACAAACTACATTCCAGCAGCATAGGCTGGAGAGACAGATACCAGTTGCCAGAAAATGTGGCAATCGTCAGAGGTTGTGGAGAATGGTGTGTTGGCCAAGAAACCAATAGCTCTGAGGAACTGAAAAATGCCCCACTAAGAAAGTGACATGTAGATGTGATCCTGAAGGGTGTGGAGTCAGCAATTAGAAAGTGGTGGAGTCTCAGCCAGAGATGTGCACATGCGTGAAGATGCCATCTTAGAAATGTGAGCATGTGCGTGGATGCCAAGATGGAAGAGAAAGCAGTAGGGTGTGCATGTGAGTGGTAGATGATATATGGGAGCTTCCTGGGGTGAGGGAGCTGGAAGGTTTGTCTGAGGTGGAGAGACTGAGGCAGGGTGTTTTATCAGCCTTTTAGAATCTGGGTTTTGTGTTGATAGTAGATAACCATGCAGTGTTTTAATAGATCACTTGTCATTAGAGTTGACAGGGAATTGGTCTAGGAAAGAGTGGAGGGACCCATCAAAGGAGAGAGGGGTAGGTTTGCCAGACACTTGGGAGAAGGAGGAAGTGATTCTTTACCAGTGGAAGAGGAAGAAATTTAAAAGGGGGTAAATGTTGAGCTTTATTTGAGCGTAGGCTCCTTTGTCATTGAAGGGAAGATACTCAGGGAGGCAGTTGAAGCTTTAGCTACAGATCTAAAGAGGATGGAGTATGGGGATATGGAGCCAGAAGTCACCTGGGAACAGGCAACACTTAAACCCAAGAGAGGCTGAGAGATTGGGGCAGGATCTTGTGTGGACAGAGTGCTGAAATCAGGGGCTGATTTACACTGAAGATACTACTTGGTACTAGATGAACTTCATTGCTTTAGAACAGGAGCCCATGGAACCCTGGGTCATGCTCTGGAGAATCTCTATCATGTTAAGCTTTTTATGAAAATCTAGTTCTATGTTGGCAAGATTCCCAAAGGGACTGGAGACAAGGATTAAGGCCCAAATATTTCCACAGACAATTGTCATCAATTAATTACATATCCTATGGTCTTTAGGATTTGAACAGAACTGAAGAGATTGATTCAGTCGTGGAAATATGCTTCATATAATGATTTAGTCTTATTCAATGACTTGCAGGGGCTTGGGGGGGGTAAAGATTCTTGGTACTATTCATTTTAGGAGATGAGAAAGTATTTGATTACGTTCATGATTTTTCGAGAAATGCTTGTGTTCTGTTCAAATCTGCACAAAAGCATTCTTCAAACAAATAGGTGTTTGAACTCATTTTACTATGAGGCAGAGAACTGTCACCCTTGTCAATCTGGATGACACATGTGGTCCAGGCCTCTGTAGATGGCTCTTCCACCTTTGTCCTCACCTACTGTCCCTGACTTTGTGTCACATTTGAAATCTGATCCGTTTCTCAGTTGACCATAACAGCACTCAGGCAATCCCTCCTTCAGGAAAATCTTCCCTGTATAAACGAGCTGCTGTTGACCATTACTTTCTTCCTGGAACCTGAGAAGTTCTAAAATTGCTAGGTCACCCATCTAAGGAGGACCCCTAGTATGTATCTTAGGTACATAATCAATTCTTGCAACTCAACAATAAAAAGAGAAGGCCTGGTTTCAAAACAAGCAAAGGATGTAAACTGGCATCTTCCAAAGGAGATGAGCAAGTGAGAAATGAGTGTCACAAAGGGTGTTTGGCAGGACGTGCTTCAGTCCTGAATGACTGACAGATTGAAACAGTCATGAGATACCACCATATTACTGTAGGGTGACTCGTTTTAAAAATAAAACATGGGTCTGGAGAGATGGCGTAGCAGTTCTGAGCACATGCAGCTCTTGCAGAGAACCAAGTTCAGCTCCCAGCACCTATGTTGGGTGCTTCACAACTGCCTGTAGCTCCAGCTCCAGGTGATCCGACAACCTCTCCTGGACTCTTCAAACTTACTTCCTCACACACACACAATTATGAATAAAATAAATCTTTTGTAAAAAAAAAATGTAATAAAGCCATGAGGAATTAGAAAAACTGCTGTCTTCACACATGACTGCTAGAAATCCAAACTGGTGCAGCCACTGTGAATAAGAATTTGGCAGTTTCTCAAAAAGTTAAAGATAGACCTACCCCGTGATCCAGAAATGCTACTCTTAGCTCTGTCCCCAAGAGAACTGAAACATATGTTCCAAAAACAACTCAATATCACAGAAGCTTTAAAGGCATAAAACACAAATGTTAGTTAACTAAATAATGGGTAAGCAAAAAGCGATCTACACAGACAGTGGAATAGTATTCAGCTATAAAAAAGAATGAGGCATTGCTACCTTACCAACTTTAAAAACATCATACTATGAAAGACCCTTGAAATACTGAGAGATTTGCTTTGTATAGATTTATATGGAATAAACCCATAAAGGCAAAAGGCAGATCAGTGGTTTCAGGTAACTGAGAAGACACGGGAAGTGGGAAACACAGAATAATTTGCAAGGTGATGAGAATGTTCTGGAATCAGAAGTGGTGGTCACACAACACTGACAATGTGTTAAAGGCACTGATGTGCACACACTAAAGTACTCAGGATGGAGATATGTGTTGTGCATAAACACCTTAACGTAAATTTAAAATGTGAAATAAAATGGACAAGTGATGTTAGGTCAGCCCTGGAGATAACCAGATCCCAGAATTCATAGGCTTTCCTGTACACTGCTCATCCATGAAGAGGCTAAACTACACTCAGAAAGGCTGAAGCGTTCCAGTGACTCTGAAGTCACCACTGTTGACTCTAAGCCAGTTAAGCACATGAACAGAGTAACCCTCACTTAGCAAAGACCTGGAGAAATAAGCAATGCTGGTGTGCATTTGCCTTGTGAGGACATTTCTAAATTGGGGGTGAAACATCAGAGTAGTCCAGTACATAATCATCACATTTCTTAGAGGTTCTTTAAATTAAAAACTCTGCCCATTGCAGTAGCATAAGCTAGCCTGAGGGTCAATGCTGCCTGCTTCTTTTTTTCTAGGCTGTCTTTCTTACAGCAGTGTAGCAAATATTTACTCCTGGTGGCAATTTGAGACTCTGGTACTATTCACTCTTCTTTAGCAAAAAGATTATTTAACTTTGTAGTAACATTTGGAGCCCTGGGTATGGTAAATTTCCAGAGTTGGGGACCTTCCTGCATATTTCCAAGAATGTGACTGCATTTCTGTTTGATTTACTATGAATCAGCAGAGAAATCAGAGTGAGGAATAGAGAGAAGCAGACAGCATTAAACATTGTCACTACAACTGTGTGTGTGTGCATGTGCGTATGCGTGTGCATGTGTTGGGCCAGACAGTGGTGGTGCAGATATTTAATACAATTCAGGGGGCAGAGGTAGCCAGATCTCTGAGTTTAAGGCCAGCCTGGTCTACATAGCAAATTTCAGGACAGCCAGAGCAACATAGATAGATAGATAGATAGATAGATAGATAGATAGATAGATAGATAGACAGACAATAGGTAGAATAAACGAAATAAAATATGTTGGTCATGGTAATAACTGGATACCCATGCTGTGGTTTGTAGCACAGTGACTGTAGAACAGCTTTTAGAAGCATGTGCACTAGCCTACTGGATGCCCAGCCCTCCTCATGATTTTTCTCTTCTGTTTGCTCTCTCTCCTTCCTCCCTCCCTTTCCTTCTCTCTTGTTTACTTTCTTCTCTTTTCAATACTGAAGGGTTGAACCCAGAGCTCCCCAAGCCAAGCTAACACTCTCTCCCTGGGCTACACCCTGGGCTCCTGTTAGTTCTTCAGCGTTTCTGTCCCCAACACCCTTTTGACATTCGGCTTCACCTTAGACAGTCTCCCAAGGACAGGTTGGGAACAGACATAACTCCTGGATTCTAGTATGAAGCAAACAATATCACTCCTTATGGAAAAACAATTGTCCATTTCAAGGCCACAACAAAACATAAACCCAGAAGCTTTGGCACTTTTGCACCCATGATCTTGGAAGTCTGTGAGCAATCCTCCTGGTTCTGGTATCTTCTTTCCCAGAGCAGGGCTAAGTTTCCACATCATCTAGAACCTTCACTCTCTTGAGGCACTAGGCTAGCCAGCCCCACTTTTCACCCCATTGAATTGTGAGCTTCAATGTCTTGCTTGACTACATTTTCATTCTCTATAGGGAACAGAGCTCCAGAAACTCAGGGCAGGCATGGATGGCAGAAGAACCATTTGTTGAGTTAAATACAGTCCTTCTGATCATCAGAAAGAGAACCGAGCAGCTGCGCTTGCTCCCAACTCTAACCCAACACTCTGCCCCAGCTCTGTTTATTAGCTGTCTCCTCAGCCCGTCAGTGGCAGAGGTGATGAAATCAGAGGCAGATTTCACTGTCAGGCAGCTGGGTCACTATCCCCAGGGTCTTGTTGTCATGCTGCGGTCTTAAAGTGACCATGGCTGCTTGGATTGTTACTTTCCAACAGGCTGAGCGACCACCGAATAGTTAACTGGTGGAAAAGAAGGACCCGGCTCTTGCTTGTAGAAAACACATAGAGAAGCAGCTTTGAAAAATCCCAAGGTGGCTGAGTATCAAGAACATGGCCCCTGCTGCGGGCAGCTGTGAGTGCAAGGGGCAGCCTGAGGGCTGGAAATCAAATCTCTAGCCCGGGCTGGTGCCTCTCCCATGAGGCTCTGCCAGTAGAGGCAAAAAAACCCTAAACACTACAAAATGAAAAAGCCTCTTCCCTGGTAGAGGGAGGTTACCATCGATGTTATCTTTTGTGTGGGTAGCACTATCAGAGAGGGATGGATCAGAGGGGAGAGGGGAGGGGGGAGAGGCAGAGAGAGAGAGAGAGAGAGAGAGAGAGAGAGAGAGAGAGAGAGAGAGAGAGAGAGAGAGAGA